CCATAGCATACAAGCAGAATTATCAGCTACTTGTGTTCATTCACCCAGTTACTGCAGTGGAAGACCAGTTATTTCTTGTACCATTTTCTTCTTTCAAGAGAAGGTTGTCCTAGGCCCCGTGGCAAAAGATGAGCACATAGAGAAAAGGCTGGGTTAACAAAGCACGAGGGGAAGAAGACATTACCGGGTGTGGCTACCCCTCTTCCCATCCTCGTCCTGGCTCTGCCAGTAAACATCTTGCCTTGAAGCAGCACTGAGCGCATAAAGGAAAGAAATGTTCCCACAGCTACCTGGCTAGGGATCTTCCAAAACCATGTGTGTGAAGGTTGCAGATTGCTGTTGCATCCTGAGTGGTACCATCCTCAAGCAGCCCAGAGAATTTTTTTTGTCTTTTTTGTGAGGCAGGGTCCTCACTATGCAGTTCAGGTTGGTCTTGAGCTCACTTTGTAGCCCAAGCTGGCCTCAAACTTGCAATGATCCTCCTGCCTCAGCCTCCTGAGTGCTGGGGTTATGGCATGTGCCACGATGCCTGGCTAGCCCAGAGAATTTTGAGGGTGGTGAATCAATTTAGAATTCATGAGGAAGAAGAGCATTAAGCTGGGCTTACAAGAATGACTGCTTCTGATAAGCAAAGGGGAGCATTCAAGGAGGGCAGGAGCAAAGGTCAATACGTGGTCATTCAGAACAGCAGAGATTAATTATTTGGAGGCTAGAGGTTGATTGGCCTGGATTTCCTTGCTGATCCATTGTCTAGTGGCTTTTGCTTTGGTCTGAATTTGCCACTGGCATCTCAGCATGGGCAGTCCTGCTCAGTGAGTATCCTGTCTTCCTCCTGGGCCATCCGACTGCCCTGGGAACTCAGTTCTTATGGTGAGGGTAGAGGAAGAAGGCAGCAAGGCCAGAAACTGGCACCTCATCTCTTCTACCTCATCCTGGTGGCCAGAGAAAGCCTGAACTCCAGTACTGGAAAGGACCCGCAAAGTTACTGGCAGCCAGATGCAGGAAAGGGGGAAGAATAGGGGCTTCAAATGCAAACCTACTAAAGGAGCAGAGTGGTGTGAATGGGCAAGGGTTTTGCAGAAAACTGTGCACTCAGACTCTGCAACTGGGAAACGCTGTCTCAGACTCTCAGGACAAAGTCCCCACATGGGATCCCTGACTCGAGTATTACGGTCCAGCTCCTGTCCATCTCCCGGGCAGCTCGCCACTCCCTGGAGCCGATTATTCCATCACCAAATGACTTGTAGGAAGTCCCTCCTGGTACCTAACCCTTTTTACTTCCTCTCTCTGATGTCAGTTCTGCCATGTAGGTTTCTAGTTTGGGAGCTGCACACATATTTGAGGACAGTCCACTTCCCAGTCCCTCTGGCTTATAATTCCCAAGGTAAGGCAGTTGCAGGCTCACGGGGGGAAAAGTGGAACAGAACCACGGCATCTATGCAGGAGGCTGTAGTTCTACTAAGGCACAGAACATACTTGGCACTTCCTTTCCTCCCTCCACATCCAGTCCTAGGTCAAGAGCTGTGCCTTCATCTTCCCCTGTCTGCAGTCCAAGCTGCAGTCATCTCTGGCCTGCACCACCGCAGTCGCCCCCTCACTGCCCCCAGCCTGTCCTGTTGTGCCCTTTGCAACCGCAGCTGCAGCAGTCTCTCTAAGCCAGCATGCTCTCGCGTCAGCCACTGCTAAAAACGCTTCACCTTCAGGCGCATCTTGCTCCTCGCTCTGTGTCCCGCCTTGGTCTGGCAATCGTCTCCAGGACCCCGGCCCCTCCTCATCCAGTTCATCACGCCTCTCCCTTCAGGCTTCAGCTCATCTGTCACTTGCCCAGAGTCCTTCCTGCTCTCCTTGACAAGGTCACGCTGCTCAGTGCCTCGCTCTCCCAGGACTGCAGACCTCTTCCGCGTGGACTCTCCCCACACTGCTGGCATACCGCTTGCCTCCTCCTCTACTCTAGAATGGTGGGCCCCGTGCTCCACTGTAAGGGTGGGCTGCTCTGTAATGCTTGCAGATTACTGTGGGGTAAATACAAGCACAGTGGCAAATTTCAAGACACCAATCCCCCCAAATCCCTGAAAATGTAATGATCGTCTCTCAAGCTAGGTTGAGCCAGCACCTGGGTACCCCAAGGGCAGGCCCTATGAGTGGTATTGTGCCTAGGGACCGATGTCATGTCTAGAAAGTTACAGAAGGACCAGAAGTATTTGGTGAATGGCTGGATGAGCAATACTGATGTCCAAATGAGCTCTACATGATGCTTAGATGGGCACTATAATGGCCGTTTCCAGAAGATAAAAGACTTTGAATGCCTGCCCCAAGGAAGGACTATGGAAGTCTTAGCATTTCTGTTTCCTGTGCTTTACATATTTAACAAATATTTTCCTAGCAGCCACAAATTCAAGTGCTTTATAAATACAAACCCGCTTAGCCCTCACCATAATTAAAAGGATACAAACAGAAGTCCCATTTTACAGAAGCAGAAACTGAGGCTCAGAGACTTGAATCATTTGCCAGACAGTGGAGCTGGGCTTTGAACCTTGGCCGTGTGACTGCAGAGCCCATGTGCTTATCCAGCAGGCTGTGCTGCGCTAGGGTCAGCTCCAGAAGTGAGCCATGTGTCTCGTGTATTCCAACCTGAGCACATCCACGCCGGAGGCCCTGGACTGTGCTCTAGGCTACTATGCCTGGGCAAAGAAATGATGACAGAGAGGAGGTCCTGAGACAGGCACTGAAAGGAGAGGGGGCACACCAGCTCATCTGGAGAGGGACGAAGTAAAAAGATTAAGGCTTTTCAGGGGCGGTGAAATAACCAAGGAAATGCCCCATAAATATTTATTTACTACATACAATTAGCAGGAAATTGATCTGGCTACTTTCATAAAGGGAAACATTAAAATTTGAGAGGTGAGTGTGAGACCTTAGTATATGCATAATGTCCTTCCCTGCATGTGGTCTCATATTACCTTTATGACCACCTGGACACAGGAGGATAATCATGCTTGTTTCAATAAAACCAGGACACCGACACTCAGAGAGGTTGGTGATGGACCTAAGGTCACAGAATTGCCCATCAGCAGAACCAAGCTAGAGTCCCACACCAGATGACCACCGGTCCCAGCCCCTCACCCTGGTGCAGCGTGTCTTCCTAAGCCTGTCATGTAGAATCATAGTCGCTGAGAGGGAAATCAGTGCCCGGGGCTGATGGTGCTGAGCACCAGCACCAAGAGAAAATATAATTGGTTTTGAAGGAGGTTTATACAACTTCTAGGCTGATGAGCTAATACTGTAATAGCAAGACTCAGGAATGCGACTCTAACGCTTAATGTAGTTGTCTATTTAATGGGTTAACTCTAGCTACCACATGCCTACTGGATGAGGGAGTTTTGAGACCAAAGGTGAAGCCTTTCTTTACTTTCTTTACTGTCCATTCTGTATGCAGCATTGGGGATCACTGAAAAGAAAATTAAAAGAAAAGTGAATGGAGGCTATCTGCAAGTGAATGGTATTAACACCACCTTCCTCTTCCTCCCCTTTAACATCATCATCATTATTGTAATCAGCATTGCAGCTACTGTGTTCACAGAGCACCTGCTGAGGCTTTAACACTCACATCCACCCTGTGAGGCCAGGACAAGTATTAACCCCATGTCAGGGATGAGGAGCCTGAGGTAAAGATGTACCAGAGGTGATAACGGAGAGAGCCTAGCTGTGGAGCCACATCTCAGTCTGACCACCCAGCTTGATGTCTTCTTTCTGACGTTCCTGGGGCAGCCGAGGAGGACAAGGATTTGGAGCCACCAGCCCAAGGCATGGGGAAGACCAGATTCAGAGAAAGGGGAAGAAAACTAGCAGTGGGGGCAGGCAGTGCCCAGAACACCACAAGGTGGGAATTTCAGGGCAGGAGAGAAGAAGGCTGTGGAAAGGGACCTACAGGTCGGGTGGCCTGGGGGTGGGGAAGGAACCGTGGGGCTTGTAGTACAAAGCAGGTTTCAGGGACATCTCAGGCAGTTTTCCTGGAGAAGTGGCGGGGGTGGCAACAGATTGCTGTGGGCTGCAAGTTGAGTGGGAGGTGAGGATTTTAGCCAGGAGTCGACTGAAACTCCCTCTTCCAAGATCTGTGACAGTTGGGGAGGGGGCAATGGAGGAGGACTCCAGCAGCCATGAGCCCAGGGGCTTGATGGCCCCGAACAACCCAGTTATCAGTATAGCTACTATCTCCAGTGCTGGGATGGACCCAGAGCCCCGCCGTCACTGCGCTGCATCCCAGCCCAGTGGGACGCTTGCAGCCCTTCCTCCCTTCCCTGTTCCTTCTGGGTCAGCTTCCATAACTGGATCAAACCTCAGAGAACCAATCCAGGAGGAAGAAAGCTCTCTTCTGACTCACAGTGTAGAGGTTTCAGTCCATGGTCACTTGGATCCATCACGCTGGCCTGTGACGAGAACTTCTCACCTCCCAGTGCTGCCAAGGGTTCGCTGGAACCTGGCTTGGAACTCAGGAGTCTTTGAAGACACTTGTTTAAGTCAAACCACTCTCCCTTTCTATCTGTTTTTTGGGGTACTGTGGTAGGGACGGAATCCAGGGCCTCATGCCTGCTAGGCAAATGCTCTACCTCTAAGATACATCCCCAGCCCTCCACCTCCAAGTGCTTACTGAGCACAGACTAGGAGCCACATCTTGTGCTGTCTTCTCTGGCTACTGTGATGCACAGGGCTGTGTATGTCATCCTTACAATGGAGCGAGGACACAAATATAAGCCGAAAGCACAAATGTGTGTGTGTACACATTGTATAATATTTTTAGGCGGGGCATGGTGGTGCACGCCTGTAATCCCAGCACTCAGGAGGCCAAGGCAGGAGGATCGCTGTGAGTTCGAGGACAACCTGGGCTACATAGTGAGTTGAAGTCCAGCCTGGACTGCAAAGCAGGACTGTCTCTAAAAATATGTATATTTTTATTCATATCCTTTTCAAAATTTTTTATTTGTGTATGTTGGCAATACATCATGAATATGCTCACCGTGGGGCACTGGTACCTATACATAGCACATCTTGGTCCTCTGTACTCCCCGCATTCCCATATCCGCTTCCCTTCTCCCCAAGTCTGCCTCCCCGCTTCCTATCATCTTTCTTTTATAATAACAATAATGGCCAATTCGGTTCCCGGTACCGGAGAAAAAACCAAAAAAAAAAAAAAAAAAAAAAAAAAAAAAAAAATAATGGCCAGTGTTCACCGGGCACTTCCAATGTACTAAGCACTTAAGCATTTTGTTTTAACCTTTCATGTACACACACAAAAGCTTCAAGAAACCCTCGAGAAAGACAGTGTTGGGATTAGTACCTGCCACGGATCCAGAAACTGAGGCACAGAAAGCTCAGCCGTCTGACCAAAGTCACAGAGCTGAGATAGGTGGGTCGTGAGATGTGGCTCGGACCGGCCTGTTTCCAGATACTAGCGCCAAGGCTGCACTGTCCTTAGCCCTTTTGCTCCCAGCAGTGGCACCGGGACGCGCAAGACCTGGCCAGGTGCCCGCGTCCCGGGCGCGCGGCCGGAACGCAGACCCTCAGCGCACGCCGGCGCCAGGCCCCTCATCAGGCTCGGGGGAGCTGGGCGCGGCGCAGCGGCTCGGGAGCAGGCGCCCC